TAGAAATATCAATAAAAATTTTGAGAAAAATGTACTGCCCTTACTCCACATGAGTGGTCTGGACATTGATGTTGTCTACATAAATAAGGATAACGAAATCAATGATACGTTGAATACTTTTGACACTACTAAGACTGAAGGTATACTGATCGCAGGAGATGATAATTTATTGCAAAAAGCCGTAACCGCCCTTATCCGCCGGGGTTTTTTCGAGGTTGGTGCTTTTATCAAACTTTAACGTAAGAACCCATGTTTTATAACTTGTCCTATCGGAGCGATTCCAGTAGGAGTCTGGAATACTTCCTGTAGAAGCTTCTTTTCCGATGATTACGTCAGGTAGCTTATGTTTTAACCTTAATTCATTAAAATTATTTGAGAAGCAAGTTTATAGTACTTTGAATCAATATGTAAATTTTTAGCTGGTGCTTTAGATCTGTTAAGCCAATATTAGACAATGTGTCTTGTCTAAAGAATGTACTAGAAATAAAAACGTTAGATGAAAATTTCAAAGTGAGTGTCATATTTCTCCTTACTTCACTTCATTAATGGTGATGATTTTGGCCGTTATCCTTTAACTATCCATTTATTTTATTTTTTAACTTATTAAGCATGAAGTCTATCCTTCAGCGTCCTCATCTGATGAAACACCGAACGTATATTCATCGTCGCATTCAGACGTTTCTTCTGCTGATGATATTGTCCACTCTTCTAAGGAAATTGCTCCGTCACTTGGCATTCGTTACTCACAATCAAAACCAATTTACGCTCTTTCCGGTATCGAATGGAGCATCTGGCGTGACATAGAATTTGGTAAAGGAGATATAACAAGATCTAAACCATCCAAAGTACCCTTGCGTACTAGTGAACATCGTTCACGACTGCCTGAGCTCTCACCAGAAGTTATTGATAACTCTCTTTTGCCATGGGGTTTCTGGAGTATGCATCCATATGCATGGTATCGTGAGGTTGGAGCACTGCGAAGATTCGCCATGGCCTATTTTCGGACCTTATTTAAATGGGATGCAAATTTATCACTTCATCACGAGCTTTGGTCATCCACTGTATCAGCCTCTTCAAACCCGATTGTTGAATCTGATAGCACATTAGGAAATGAAACTTCAGAAGTTCACCCAAATTCTGGGCCTTCCTCATTTCCAAGAAGGCTAATCAAGAACTTTCCTATTAGATCGAAGCCAGTCCGTCTGGTTTATACAAAAGTTTGTAGTGGCTGCTCTAGGTGCTGGCGGACCAAGCAATCGGTAAATATAGTTGCACAGATTTTGTTGCCCTTTTTAAAATTCAAGTTTATTGGCCATTACGACTTATAGGTCTGAATAGTTGGCGTCCATTTTAAACTTCGTATAATAACCTATGGATTATTCCTCTTCTAAATAAGGAAAAGCGGTTATCATGCTTAGACTCACGCGGCCTTACTAGTCTTGCAGTCCGTTATATTTGCTAGGAGTTAGCTATATCCTGTTTTCACATAAAGTTAGCAAGATCCTCTTTGTATAGGT